TATAGGGTCTCTATGAGTCAGAATCAACTCAACAGCAATGGTGTGTTTTTTTTTTTTTTTTTTTTTTAATGGGGTACAAAGGAGAGTGATTACTTCTAGTTGGGAGAGCTAAAAACAGATCCATCCCAGACAACATTTTATCTGGGCCTCAACAAATGGGAAAAATAAAGGGAGCGGAAACTATTTAGATAATATTATTGATAACTTGGCCAAATCAAGAGAACATTTCACCTCAAATTGAAACTATATAATAGTTTAAAAGAAATGCAATCATATTCAAGATCAAGGAACCAAAATTGTCACATCAAAATATTAAATAAACAGATTTGTAAAGAGAACTTCGAATGACAACTCTCTTATGATGTCATCCTTAGGTTTTATTGACTGTTAGCACAGCAAACCACCTTCTCAACAATGATGCAAACTTTAACTTTCATCCTATTCCTGTCAAAATAAACATAAACTGAATCTAAGTTAAGGAGATATTAGAGTAGGTAAACTTTATACTAATCTATTAATTTTAAATTTTAGAAGACAAAGCCCATTTTTATTTTCTTGTTTAGAATAAAGTCATGAAGGATACCTATTTTTTCAGGCTTGAGCAGCTTGAAAGAGACAGTTGAAGTTCCTCTGCCACCTGACTTGGTCGTGACGATGATGTCTCCTTTGTCATTTTTGGCTTGTCCCACTCGACACACTATTTTACTGGCAGACATCCACTCTGCAGTCAGGAGGCAATTATGTCCACAAATTGTCAGACCTGGAAATGCAAGCATGACATAACAAAGTTCAGAAGAACAGTGATAATAAGACCTTAAACTTGTCTACTGCATGAAAAATAAACACTAGGCCTTTTCATGAACTGAAAAATGAATCTAGAAATAACATTTCCTTGTTCAACAGCTATTTCTATTATTGAATATAACCAATATTATTTGCAAATATACTGCTATTTCTATTGATTTTTATTTAATCTGTTTTTTATCTAATATTTATAACTTCTTTTACACTATTTTTATGTTTCTTCAAAGATCTGAGGAATCAGAAAACAATTTATCATAATTAAGTCTAGGCTCATAATTATGTCTAAGGCTTAGAATCTTAGATTGTTTTCATACGTATCAGAAGGGAAACTATTGCTACTACTTGAAGTCTAAGTTACTGATATAAAATTTTAAAGTATACTACTAAATTTATGTATCATTCCCTAAAAACATTCTATATTCACCCATCTTCCTAAAAATAATGTGCATGCACTTTTACTAGTGTTCAATTATATGCTGTACTATAGAATGCAGCCAATCATAGTTCTATAACTAATTCTCTTGAGAATTCTGAACTAAAGTGGTTACTTTATTTTAAACATAGCCTGGAGTGTGATAAACCCAGGAAAATGTTGTTGGGTGTTACTGGATTACTATCTCATTTTATGTCTGCATATCAGTTCATATAATGATAGTTCATGCTGTGTCAGTGTTTTCCTGATGATACTGCCACTATACTACATCCTGTTCTTACAGTCAAACAGCATTCCAGAGAGGTCACCTCAGCTTACTCATGGCCATCACTTCCCAATACCCTGCACATAAATTAAATGCTGACTGTGGCCACACAGCAAAGCACTAAAGGTTCTAGTGGGTGAGGCTGTCCCCCAGGCGAGGCACCAACACTCCACAGGGACACACCATCAGCTACTCCTCTAACTTATTTCCTCTGTATTTTCCATTCCTACAGAGCAGAGACCAAGATAAAAAAAAATATTTATGGAGAAAATAAACTAGAATGTATATGGCCCAAAGCAGACACTTCACACTTTCTTTTCTCATTATTTAACTTTTACATTGCTCAGCAGTCATGTGTAGCAATTCCAATATTTTGTTAGATACCAAGACACCTCAACAAATGCAAATTTTGATTTAAAACAATGAAATGCGGTTAAGTCACCTTTTATTGCAACTTCAATCACTATTGAGTAAGAATGCTATAGGAACTATAAAGAAACAAAAAGAACTACTATTTATATTTCATGAAATAATGAATTTTAGGGGTTTCCCTAAAATATCTATGATTTATTCATGTATGGCATTTTGCTTTCCTAAAAACAACATTTAAGGATTCCCTTAAGACTGGGTTTCTTGTTGATATTTCTTAAGGTGTAATTTTAAATGCATCTATAATTTTAACTTATTTTTTCAAAATGGAAATGTCTTTGATTTTTTTCCTGATAATCGTTATGAAAAATTCAAACAATTTAAGAGCTTGAAAGCTACCTGGGTTCCTCTCCCCTGCCTCCAAGATAAGCATTGCTAAACACTTCAATGCATTTGTGCTCAATTTAGTGCACACATAAATTTGTTCATGTATTTTCAAAATAAACTAGAAATCTTTCAATTTGTAACCTGCTTAATTATACGTGGTGGAAATTCTTACATCATTCCAGGTCAATACACACTTAATATTGTTAAATTCTACAATATAATAAAGGTTCTTATAATTTTAAATACTCACTTCAGAAAGGAAAATAATAATAAACATCAGAGCACAAAGTAATAATTCAAATAGTGTCTTCATAAAAACAAACAGGCATGCCTAACGTGGTAAGTTCCCTAGTAGAGAACTACCCTATGGTTAAACAGAGGAACGAGGAGTCGATTACACAGACTAAACTCTAAACATATATTCCCATGACCACACCTGCTGGCACGAAACCACTCCAAAGCAATAGCTTATTCATCAGTCATGGTTGCTATCAAGGTATCAAGGTTCCTCTGTCTTAATACATGATCTGCATTCTTACTCCAAAACTTAATAATCACCAAATAATTTAAACATACTTTTGAACAGATCATTTTGAATTTCATAAGGAAAAAATAAGATCATAAGACCTATTTTGTCGGCACATTTTGCTAAGTTACAGAACGCTAAGAAATCTGCTTCATTAAAATATAACAGCACTTTTTTTTTTCAGAAGTAACTTGTAACATTCCAAGTACTTTTTATAGTGTTTTACTTGGCTAATATAAATATCATCAGAGTTCAAAAAAAAAAACTTCAATTATTCAGCAGGTTAAGTTTGCTTTTTTAAAAAATTGTTTCTTGCCAATACCTCAGGCAGGCTGCAAGCTGAACTAGTAAGGTTTATAAAAGTCATACGTACTTCATCAAATAAGAATAGCACTGCCTGAAGCTAAAGCAAGATTAAAAGTTACAGAGACCAGTCACTGCCATGTTTAAGGGCTCACAGTGATTGTGCCAGGTAAAATTTTGGACATAACCTCCAGCCATGTTGTTGTTGTTCAGTGCCGTCCAGCTGGTTCCAACACATAGAAACCCTATGTACAACAAAACACTATCACGGTCCTGCACCATCCTCACAATCTTTGCTATGTTTCAGGCCATTGTTGCAGTCACAGTATAAATCCATCTCAGCAAGGGTCTTCCTCTTTCTCACTGACCCTCTACCTTACCAAGCATGATGTCCTTTTCCAGGTACTGGTCCCTCTTGATAACATGTCCAAAGCACGTGAGACAAAGTCTCACCATACTCGCTTCCACGGAGCATTCTGGCTGTACTTCTTCCAAGACAGATCTGTTTGTTCTTCTGGCAGTCCACGGTATATTCAATATTCTTTGCCAACACCATAATTCAAAGGCATCAATTCTTCTTCGGTCTTCACTGTTCAGCTTTCACATGCATATGAGGCAAATGAAAATATTATGGCTTGGGTCAGGTGCACCTTAGTCATCAAAGGAAAATCTTTGTTTTTCAACACTTTAAGAAGGTCTTTTGAAGAAGATTTGCCTACTGCAATACATCGTTTAATTTCTTTACTGCTGCTTCTATGGGCATTGATTATGGATCCAAGTAAAATGAAATCCTTGACAACTTCAAACTTTCTCAGTTTATCATGATATTGCATATTGGTCAAGTTGTGAGGATTTTTGTTTCCTTTATGTTGAAGTGTAATCCATACCGAAAGCTACAGTCTTTGATCTTCACCTTCATCAGTAAGTGCTTCAAGTCCTCTTCACTTTCAGCAAGCAAAGTTGTGTCATCTGCATTATCAAGGTTGTTAATTAGTATTCCACCAATCCTGAGGCCTTGATCTTCTTCGTATAGTCCAGCTTCTTGGATTATTTGCTCAGCATACAGACTAAGTATGGTGAAAGGATACAACCCTGACACGTACCTTTCCTGAATTTAAACCGCACAGTATCCCCTTTTTCTGCTCAAACGACTGCCCTTTGGTCTATGTACAGGTTCCTCATGAGCACAATCCAGTGTTCTGGAATTCCCGTTCTTCACAATGTTATCTATAATTTGTTGTGATCCACACAGTCAAATGCCTTTGCACAGTCAATAAAACACAGGTAAACATCTTTCCGGTATTTTCTGCTTTCAGCCAAGATCCATCTGACACCAGCAATGGTATCCCTCTTTTCATGACCTCTTCTGAATCTGGCTTGAATTTCTGGCAGTTCCCTGTCAGTGTACTGTTGCTACCCTGCTGGCATTTGAAATACCAGTAGCATAGCTTCCAGCATCACAGCAACACGCAAGCCACCACAGTACGACAAACTGACAGACGTGGTGACCTCTATCTATATTTCCATGCATTCCGGGGCTTTTTTCCACTTTGGACAAATAACTGGAATGAACTTTTAAAAAACCAAGACATAGGAATAAATAAGACTATTTCATAAGAAAAATAAATTTAAGTGAAATTTACCTAAGAGGCAAAAACTATAGCTAGAGAAAACAATATAAAATAAGACATATGTAAGTAACACTAGCAAAAAGAACTAGCTAGGAGGTGCAAAACTCAGTTACGAAGAGGGAAGGAAGACAGACACACCTTAAACTACTCCCTACAACATAGACTCATGAAATCAAGTGAAAAAGACACAAAAAACTACCTCAGATCCCTGAACATCAAAGGGAAGGTTGAAGAACTAGACTGAGAACCGACTGGAAACAGAAAGAAATCAGCTGGAACAAGGAGATTCTAAAAGACCACACCTGGCCAGCTGGGCCAGCACAGCATGGTCATTTTGAGATGGTAACTAACAACATTCCTGGGAGAGGAGTCCAGAAAGGCAACTTCACAGAAAACACAGGTGGAGGCAGAGATCCTGAGTAAACAGACTTGGAAAGAAATGAAGTAGGCAGGTCAGGTGCTGGGTTCAAACCAGCATGAGAAGGAGACATGAGGGAATCCCACAGCTTTGAAACTATGGAAATACAGGTGCCACTGAAGCAAAGTGAGGTTGACTGAATCGCTGGAGCCTCAGGACAAGGGACAAATAAGATGGAGAGTGCAATCCTGTGGAGGGACAAAGGTGAGTGCAGAAGGTGAGCGAGAGCTTCAGAGTCTCTGAAGAATACAAAGAAGGGAGGGACCTAGAAACTAGTGATGAGACTTCCTATCAGCAGTGGTGCATGTCCATTTGGGTGAGAGACATCCACTGAATAGTGAAACACTAGAGTAATAATCAGAAGTTTTCACCGTGACCAGCCTAGTGTCAATACTCCCTCCCCTCCCCTTTGAGCAATCTCCCCCCATCACCCACGCACAACATTCCCACCACTCCCCGTGTCCACCCCAGCAGCAAGGAACCCCACAGACACGCCCACCATTCCCCCCTCGCATGGCCTGCATGGCAAGGAACCCCAGAGAACTGCCCACTGATCCTCTCACCCTGCCCAAGCCCACTGTGTGCCCCACCTGGCCTACACAGGGAAACACCCTGACGGTTCTC